CACCCTCCTCAGCCCGCTGCCACGCCTTCCACCAAGCCCCAACGCCCCGACCTCCTCATCAACCTCCAGTCGCTGCCCCTCACCGCCGACGACCTCAGCCCGATGCATTGACACCGTCAGCTCCCAGATCCGTTCTTGGATCTACCCCAACCTCCGTAGTCGCCGCCGCTCGCGGATCCGTAGTCTCGCGCCGTCAACGTTGAATCGTTCGACGAAACCCGAGGCAAGATCCCGAACCTTGATTATTTTATTTTAATTATTAGTTTATCGTAAATTATTATGTGACTTGCCATTTCAATATTTATATCTGTTAGTAATTGGTTAATTAAATTAGTCTGTAATATATTATTACCTGCGTGGGATTGCTTGACATGAATAGCTGTGTGGAAGCTTGTTGTTTTATCACTTAGTTGTTACCCAATAGGAGAGACTGTACATGAAGACGACTTCTGTTAAAAGTATGATTTATAAGCGTGCTTCAAAGCATGGCTATACTTGCTCGACATCGATATCCCGATGTGAGGAGTCCCGAGTTCCCTCGATATCGATATCCCGGTATGAGGTTTCCTTGATTATTATTATTATTATAGCATTGACTAGACGATGCACTCTTGATCGGACGTGTTGTGGGTCACGGTTATATTCATAGTTTTACAGAAGTCGTTCCACGGTAACTCCGTGGCTAGTGCACAATATTTCATGTACAGTTGCTTAATTAATTTGATAACATGGGGTTATAAAGGGGGATTGGACGGAGAATATAGCATGTATATAAACGGGCACAGCGCTTTCTTGTTATCGTGATATCGTGAGTGTTATATACATGGGCCAGAGGGCCAATACTTGACTTGAAGGCGGCCCCCGGACGACTTTACGGGGACCCGATTATATACATCAAAATATTCTTCCCCAATTCAAATAACATGTAAAACAAGAATAATATCCTTGCGTGCTTTATGGTGGACCTTGTTAGTTTTGTTGAGATGTAGATCAGTGTTGTTCTTTTCATACATAGATCGGGATTAATATTTAATTATCTGCAATTTGAGACATATGGTATATACATGAGGGTTTCCTTGTTTGGATTATTTCGCTCGACGTACTACGTCTCGAGTTGTAGATTTTTAGGTATTAATTCCATCTAGTGTATGCCCTTGTGACTTGGATGATTATTCTGATCGCTAGCTGCATGATTTTATTACCCGATTGATTTACGTATTCTTATGATTATCATGTTTTGGTCGTGGATTGCATGTTGATTTTGTTGGATTTCAGTTGTACGTTCTTTTGTTGTTTCTGTTATCGTATCGTTTTTCGCATTAGATTTCCATTCGTTCTATTTTCTTTGTGGGGTCGGGTCTTGCCGTGTGCCATGCACCTGACGTACACCTGTTTTCTCTGGTGTACGTCAGACACAGGTTCAGCTGGGAAATCATTAGGAGCCAGAGGATTCTCAGCAGGAGTGCCCTGCAGACGGAGCAGAAGAAGCTGAAGCTTAGTTATTAGTCCTCTGTTTTCTTTTGTACTACCTTCCATTTCTATTTGATCAATGTATTTTGTATCTTTTCAGTATTCATTTGTTCATATTTGTATAAGGGCATGTTTGACCCTAATATTATGTCTTGGATGATATTCATTTGTGATATGTATCTTTTTCATTCTGAGTTGTTCATTGTATTCTTGCTATGTGTGATCGGGGACCTGTGACTTCGCATTGTACTTATTTCCAGACGCTTAGCGTAGATCTAATACGTCGCGGGCTTGTTCACGTTTCGGTTCCCGTGTATTTTGGGAAGCGGGGCGTGACAGGTCCCATCAAGACTGCATCACTTGGTGGTCGACATTGGTTCGTCACGTTCGTTGATGACTATTCTAAGCATTGTTAGGTGTACACCATGACGAAGAAGAGTGAAGTCCTAGATATATTCGTGGAATGGAAGAAGAGATTAGAACTGTAGACGGGGAAATAGATCAAGACATTACGATCCGACAACGGTGATGAATATACTTCAGACCCCTTTTTGCAGCTATGTCGAGACGAGGGCATAGAGAGGTACTTCACGGTTAGTCATACACCGCAGCAAAATGGGGTGACAGAGAGGTTAAATCGGTCTTTACTGGAGAAGATCCGATGCTTATTGTCGCAGAGTAGTTTGGAGAAGATCTTTTGGGCTGAGGCACTTACATATGCGAGCCACATTATTAATAGGCTGACTTCATCTGCGATTGAGGGGAAGACCCCTATGGAGATGTGGTCGGGAGAGCCAGCACGAGATTATGACCAGCTTAAGGTATTCGGGTGCTCTGTATTTTATCATGTGAGAACTGATAAGTTGGAACCTCGAGCTAGGAAGGCCATATTTGTAGGATTCAAGCGTGGTGTCAAGGGATACAAGCTTAGGGACGTCACGTTTGATGAGGCTTCTATCTTGAAGCTTCACAGCTCTTATCAGATGGAGAGCGACCCGACGGAGGAGATATCGCAGGTGGTGGAGATTGATGCAGCTCCATATTGTCCAGATGGTACAGTATCCATTAGAATGCCGACTGAGGTAACGCCAGGCGAGCACGACAATGACACGGGGATACGAGTACTGATGTGCAGGATCAAGGACCGACGGCTCAGGTTCAGGATTCAATTGCGGTTCGGAGATAGAGGAGAAACATACAGATACCAGCACGGTATACCGACACAGTTACGTATGCACTTCCGATGGAGAGTATCGATGAGTTGGTGCCTACTATATTCAGAGAGGCCGAGCAGTGATAGGTGGTTATGCAGAAGGCGATGTAATCTCTTCATAAGAACGATACATGGGAGCTTGTTGAGCTTCCAAAGAGGCGGAAGGCAATTGGTTGCAAGTGGGTATACACGAAGAAGGAGGGCATTGAGGGCATTCCATTAAGGTTCAAAGCTAGGTTGGTTTTGAAGGGCTATGCATAGGAGGAAGGTATTGACTATAATGAGGTTTTCTCTCCGGTGGTGAAGCATTCTTCGATTCGGATTTTGCTAGCTTTGATGGGACAATATGGTTTGGAGTTAGATCAATTGGATGTGAAGACGACAATTCTTCATGGTGATCTTGATGAAGAAATATATATGATTCAGCCATTGGGATTCTGAGCTGCAGGGAAAGATAAGTTGGTTTGCAGATTAAAGAAATCGCTATACGGTTTAAAGCAGTCTCCTCGACAGTGGTATAGGCGATTTGATGGTTTTATGATTGGTCATTCGTACACTCGGAGCTAGTTTGATCCTTGCGTATATTTTCGCAAGTTAAAAGGAGGAGCGTACATTTATTTGTTTATTTATGTCGATGACATGTTGGTTGCCTCTATTTCCAGGTCGGCTATAGATGGGTTAAAAGTTCAGCTTTCAAATGAGTTTGGGATGAATGACTTGGGTGAGGCGAAATGTATTCTAGGGATGAAGATCGGTAGAGACAAGAAAAATGGCAGAATTTGTTTGACACATGTGGCTTATTTGAAGAAGGTTCTAAAACGATTCCATATTAGCATGGATATGAAGCTAGTTGGTGTACCTTTGGGAGCCCATTTGAAGCTTTCAGCTGGTCTTTCACCGAAGTCAGTTGAAGATCGAGAGTTGATATCGAAGACTCCATATGCGAGTGCGGTTGGGAGCTTGATGTACGTAATGGTATGTACAAGGCCATATTTATCACAGACGGTGAGCATGGTTTCGAGATACATGCATGCTCTTGGAGTGGGTCATTGGGACGCCGTGAAATGGATTTTAAGGTACATTCGAGGTACGCTCAATGTTGGTTTGGTTTATGAGCGGGACACTACAGGTGGGCAACTATGCATCAGTTATGTTGATTCGGATTATGCCAGGGATTTGGATAAGTGCCGGTCTACGACGGGGTATGTGTTTACATTGACACGTGCACCTGTGTGTTGGAGATGCACCTTACAGTCGACGGTAGCTTTGTCTACGGCGGAGGCAGAGTATATGACGGTTACGGAGGCTGTGAAGGAGGCTATTTGGCTTCGAGGACTTTTAGAGGAACTTAGTATATCGCAGAGGTCCGTCACTATTCATTGTGATAGCATGAGTGCTATCTATTTGGCGAAGAATCAGGTTTTTCATGCTCGAACGAAGCACATTGACGTTCGTTATCACTTCGATCGGGATGTTCTTGAAGATGGTGATGTGGAGATTGTGAAAGTCCATACGAAGGATAATCCGACGGATATGCTCACTAAGGTGGTTCCGAGCAACAAGTTTGATCATTGTCGAAGCTTGTTGCATATTCGTGATTATTGAGGCCGGTGACGGCCATTTGGGTGAACTACGTAATGCTTGATTCCTTGGACAAGAGGATACGTAGGCAGTCTTTATGATGCAGCCGATTTGGTGAGTAGATACCGACATTTGGTTGCTTTGGTGTTGGCTCAGTTTTGAGAAAACTTCACCAAGGTGGAGAATTGTGAACGCGGCTTCGTGGGGGGCACCACGTGATTGAAGCCCACGCGGAAACCCAAGGCCCACCCGAATACTTCATATATATATCAACTTTGATTTTTTTTTTAGAAGTGTGCAAGGGTTTGTGCGGGTGTGAGAGGATTGTGAGGGATTTGAGAGTTTGTTTGAGGGTTTAGGTTGTGAGTGATTGTAAACCCTAGTTGTAATCTCTCCCTCTAGTAGTAGATCTCCCCCTCCTTGTCCCGTGGACGTAGGCTATTTGCCGAACCACGTAAAAATTGGTTGTCTCGTTATTTGTGTGATTTGTAATAGCTTTTAGGTTCCCTCGACAGGCCAGTCCTAAAACCGATGAGAGGAAGAGCTGATATCTCACTTGGTTGAGATATTTTGCTTCAGATTCTTGTTTCCTTGGTGAGACTGGAATTCTTATTGCGACCTGACTCTCTTGTTGTGCTGCCGAAATTTCCGCTACGAGCAACAAATTCAAGAAAAGAACAGAAAACATACACACAACGCAGTCTGGAAGTACCAGTCCTGTAGTGTATTAAGCAAAAGACTGCAACACCCATTCATTGCCGATGTTAGTTCTTTTCTACATAAACTAGAAAAACTACATAGAAGTCTAGCTACGTAGAAAAACTCCACAACATAAGAGTACTATTCTACATTTTGACATACTCCATCAACCAAATATAATAAAAATCAAGAGAAATCCTGCATGCATTATAAGCAAGTAAAAGCAAAATATTGGATCATGGAGCTCCTGTCGTAGTATCCGATGCTTCCAAGTTCACTATCGTCGATTCCTCCAAGCCCATGCTGATGGCTTCTTCACATGCCTTAAAGAAGCTAGAGATTGCACGATCAACATACCCATCGGCTTCCTTTACTTTCATTCTCCTTTTCGTTTCAAGGCTTTCAATGTTCAACGAATGATCACCGTTGAGGGTAGAAGCCAACTCGACTATCTCACTTTGAAACTCTGAAACATAACGGTCTTCATCTGCTTGAGTTGTCCTCAGAGGAGGAACATCCGGTAAAACCACTGTAAGAAGTTAAGCAAGACTAATTTAGTTTTTATTTTTAATTCTGTCCGTAAACACCAAGAAAAACGGAGCCTTTATCCTATTTTTTGCAATCAGCTACATGAATTCACTTCTTTGGTTAATTACACAGTTAATTGCAAATATACTCAGGGGGTTTATCTACAAAAATAAGACTAAGGAGGATACTGTAGGGGTCTATCCCCAATTAGCCTTTCACTATGATCGTATCATTTTTCTCAATTTGGTGCATTTCATAAACCCACCAAATAGCTGAAACAAAGAGCTATACAAATCTTAAAGTAGATAATTTATCCTGTGAACATAAGGTAGTACTGCTGAGCTATTTTAAACTTATGAAGAGCAGTAAATAGTAATAGTTCTACCGTTTTGGGAGGGAGAGATGAACGAAAAAGGCGATGGAGATGATACATACACGGACAGTCTGTTCGAGGCGAAGTTAGCTCAGTAACGACTCCTTCAAAAGTCCCAGCCCAAGCATCTCTTTGTGTCAAGAAGCCTGAGGTGAGATTGAACATCTTCTTTATCGTTGCAGGTATTGAAGAGTGCTCGAACTCTGAGTTTTCCGCAGGTCCTTTTGGCTTGTTCACAACTGAGGCACAAAATCATAAATATCACAGAATCAATATTTGCTTTTTTAGGACCATGAAACGTGAGATTAAGTAGAATGTGCACATCAAATTGAACTTCAAAGTTGAAAGATTTATGGCCTATTAGTTTCCCTTTCTTTCTTCATTGTTTCCTAAATGTATGTTCGTGCTCGCGCATGTTTGTAGCAATCCGAGTCTGAGTTTTGCTGGCCTACTTGAATTTGAGCGTATCTTCAGTTTCATATAGTAGATTAATCAGAAGAAATTCAAAATCTAGTGTGACTCTGTAAATGTCGAAACTTGTAGAAAAATATTATACTTTGCATACCATAAAAAAAAAACCGTTTGACACAATTATACACTGATCTTGTGCCTGACTAACTTTGCAATAGACATAAAATAAAACCAAAATATTTCACCTCATTACCTGTTCCTCTCTTGATCCAAGGCGAGACCACAATCGTTGGAACCCGAACACCCAATCGATCAAACCCGAAATTATCTTGGCCCAGAATCCCGTCTGGGTTCGGAATTCCAGTGTATGGAGTCACAACATGATCATAAAATCCTCCATGCTCATCATACGTAATAACAAGAAGGCTCTCATTCCATTGGGGGCTAGATCTCAAGGCTTCATACACTTCCTTCACTAATTTCTGCCCGTTGGCGATATCATGCGATGGGTGATCATCATTTGCTGGTTTTCCCTTCATATCAAAATACCTGGTAAATTTTCTCCATCAGCATAAATCTCGTTCATGAAACTCAAATAGGGTACTATATACAAAAAAGGATCAATTGCAGATATACCCAAGGAACTATATACGGGGGATTAGCCCGACACTTATTATCCGTACATTATTTTTTGAACTTTCAGATCACCTGATGTCTAAAAAGTATATTTCTCTATAGTTTATACCTTCACTTTTTCGGATCCAAATCTATAATAAAGAGTGTACACTTATACTTTATGCTATGGGGAAAATTTCTCCTACTTTAAGTCTGTAAAAATGACAGAAAATTCATCTACGATTTCAAATTAAAGTGACACTTTAATCCCTTATTTTCATTTTCTTAGTTAAACAATCATCAAGTTTTTGATGCACATGTTTACATGACGCTACGTATCATTGTGATGTCTTATGTCCAAGTTAATTTCATACAAATTCGACTAGAATGATCAAACTGTATTTAGGAGAATTTTTCAAATATTACCTAGGTTCGATCACACTCAAGCTAGCAAGCCTGCCATCTCTAGCATGATCCAAGAACGTCCCATACTTGTGGAACTTCCTCACATACTTCAACTTCCTCATATTCCGATAGAACAACGTCGTTGGCGCATTCTCAAAGTACACGTTGAAATCCAGCCCATCTTCATGTAATGAATCGAATATCGTCTTCTGGGGATACCCTTTGGCGAGATGCCACTTGTTGTGGCTCGTGGCACCGTGGGAGGTGGCGGAGTAGACAAAGAGGCGGTTGGGCTGCGTGGGGCCCGGGAGGGAGGAGAACCACCTGTCGAAAGTCGCGAATTCTTGGGAGAGTTTGGTGAACACTGGGATGGATTTAGGGTTGAAGCCCTTCATGACGGCGGTGGAGAGATCGTCGGAGATTGTGAGGGCTTGTTCAACGAAGCCGGACATGGTTGGGATATTGCTGTTGGTGGAGGTACCGAAAACTTGTTCTTTGACGGCCTAGTGTTAAAAATGACATGAGTTAAAACTGTCAGAACAATTCAGGTTCAAATTTTACTAGACACATAATTAGAACATTTTAGAAAAGAAAAAGTATTGTTGCATAGAACTTCTGAGATTTTTTATGTAGCTTTAGGGTTTTGATGCAGCAGAAGAGGTTTAATAGAAACAACGGTTCAGTTGAGTTCAGATTCAAATTTCACTACTGGACATGAAATTAAAACATTTTAGAAAAGAAAAAAAAATATTGTTGCATAAAATAGCTCAAATTTTGTTTCATAACTTTGGAGCTTGATTCAGCAGAAGATGTCTAATAGAAACAATGGTTCAGCTGAAGGAGTACATGAAAATATTAGTCTAAAGTGTAGACCCAAAGTTGAGACGAGAGCTGGAATCAAAACTACGAAGGAAACGACCTGATAGATCCACGGTCGACTGCGGCGGGCGACCGCGAACATCACAAGGTTGAGAAGAGACTGGGTCTGATCGCGGTCGACTGCTCAACTCCCTAGAATCTGAGGAGCTTTTGTCGTCTGATCGCGGTCGACCGCACTCAACTCTCTAGAATTTGCACGGTCGACCGCCACGGTCGACCGCGACGTAGTCAAACAGTTTCCTAAACTGTTTTGAATTCTGTTTCTACCAGAACTCTATATATACCCCAAACATTTTTAGGGTTTGTAAGACACGAAAAAAGAGAGTTTTGTTGTTATTTTTGTTGGCCCAATTAATAAGATGGCCCGTTACCAAATAGGCCCAGTTCCCTCTTCTCTTATCTGATGTGCCCTAGCCCCTCTATTTTCTTCTCCTACCCGATAGTTCTAAATCTCCTCCGATCTCTGTGATCTGATGGCCGCCGCTGTGAGTCCCATCTCCCACTTGTGTAGGTCGGCTCCTAACCCTAGCTCTTCTCTCAGTGTCGGCTGCCCCCCTTTTCTATAAGACCGATGTTGCTCTGAAGGAAAGAAAAAGGGTAGTAGCTCTGTGAGAAGAAGAGGGAAGAAGAAGAGCTTTGTGCTCCTGTGAGCTTTGTGCGATCGATCTTCCCCCCTTACCTGAGCTTTGCGCTCCGAAGAGCTTTGTACGAACCCCCCCTTTCACCTCTGTGTGTGTTTGAGGGCCAGACCTGTACCCGAGCTTCCCTTGTGTTCTTGGTGGTGCACTAGAGAGGAAAATAGTGACTGATTTGAGCAGGTTTCTGAGCCAACAACGACGAGATAGGAGATCCTAACAAGTTTTTTGACTGAAAAGAGAGAGAATCTCAGAGAGATTAAACCCTAGTTTGAGAGCTTGTATTTCTTCTTCAATTAATAAAAGAATTGTGTGGTGTGGCTTCCGAGGACGTAGGCATGTTGCCGAACCTCGTTAAATCTGTGTGTTCGTCTCCTTTACTACTTTTGCAAGGTTTGATCTTTATTTATGGTATTTTTCTACTTTCAACACAAGGTCCGGAAGGGCAAAGATCTGATTGATTGCTTCGGACTCCCCAACAGAAAAGTGTTCCGTAAATTAACAAATAGCTCAAATGATACTTTGTGAACGAATTACTTACAAGTTACAACAAGCTTTATTATTATTACTACTTTTTTGGGAGGGCCGCCCCGCGGGGGGGGGGGGGGGGGGGGAGTTGCTGAGGGAAGTGGGGTTATAAAGCACTACACATGAACAAAATGAAGAAGTGAAATTGTTAACAGAAACAAGGAGCTGATGTTAACTGTAAACTGCATGTGGCGGCAGCAATTCTGGTTCACGAAATATTTAAACCTTAGAAATTATGGTAAACTTTCAGCAAATTATAGCTCAAAAATAATTTACATAGAGAATCTTTTGAGTAAAAATTATTTTTCCAGAATAATTATGACAGTAATCTTGGTCAGCTTTTCCAACAATTCAGATTTGGGTTTCCATTTTCTTTACCGAACTTTTCTTTATGTAATTCTGCAGACATACATCGAAAAAAGAACAGCTGGGGATGTAGCTCAAAGGAAGAGTACGTACTACTGACGTTTATTGCTAGCGACCGGGGATCAATCCATTTTCTTTACATAGTTCAATTGATTAATTTGATTTGCAAAGGGGTACCATATGGAAATTTCAACAAAACCTTTAGCAGAGAACATTTGAGACTTCACCAAACAAATGTTTGTACTAACGAGACAATTTCTCAAATATTTATGTAAAACTTAATTACCTCAAAAGAATGGCCGGGGTCAGGGTCGACATACTGAGCATCATCAGAGACGCAAACTACAGAGGACCCGAGGCCCTCCTCAGTCGACCGAGGATTGCATTCTTCGCCGGTGAGTCCGTCAACTGTAGGAGAAGAAGAGCTATCCTTGTCGAGCCACCCGAGCATGTGATCGAAAGATCGATTCTCGAGGACGAGGACTACGATGGCTTGGATGGGTTGGTTGGCATTGGACAAGTGTGGAGAGTGAAGGAGGAAGGGGAGGAGGGGGAGGAAGGTGATGAGTTTGGATATTTGCATTTGTTTGCTTTAGTTAGTGTTGGTGAGTAGCTCCCAGTGAGTGGGTGCTTGGCGATATGTATGTGGGGGGATACGAGGTTGGAGTGTTAAAGTTGAGATGTGGGGGGGGGGGGGGGGGCGGGGGGTTCCGAATTTTTGTGGGAATATCAATAGGGTAAATTTTGCAATAATCCCGCCCTCTTAAAGCTTGTTTTGGCTCATTTTTACATTAGCCCCCTAACTATTTTAAGTATTTCCTAGAGACCTAACTTTATTTGAGGGGTTTCGCACATAACTCCGGTAAACTTTCTCTTTTTCACTAAAATCTTTGAAGTTTTTTCACTTTTAACACTAACATCATCAAGTCTTAACATGTCATGTGCCAAGCACATGAGCAAAAGAGAAGGAGAACCCCTAGGACATAAAAAAAATCCTTTTACTGTTTTCATTATTTTCGTTAATTTTTAGGACTGAGGGGTAATTTGGTCTTTGTTTGTCACGTGCTTGGTACGCGACATGTTAGGTTTCACGGTGTTACTTTCGGGGATTAAGGGCTTGTTTGGATTGAGGGGAATGAGGGTGAAGGGAAGTTAGGGGAACCATTCACCTCCATTCATCTTATTTGGGAACACTTAGGAGGTGAATTTAATTCACCCTAGTTCCCCTTGGTTCACCCCCTAATAGTATAAAAATTGTTACCCCCCAAATTGGGGTCCCTAGTTCCCCTTGGTTCACCCCCTAATAGTATAAAAATTGTTACCCCCCAAATTGGGGTGTAACCAATGGGAAGGGAATTCCCTTCCCTTCCCTTCCCTTTCCTTCACTCAGTTTCCCTTAACTTCCCTTCACCCCCTACAAATCCAAACATGCCCTAAAGTAAACAATCTTCAACATATAGTGGAGTAGAAGAAGTTCAGAGGGTTATGTAACATAAAATAGTTAAGGACGTTATCTAAACAAAGTCCAAACTTAAAGGGGTTTTTTTGTGAAATTTACGTGCGAACGTTGTTCTTTTATTCTGTTCCCCCTATGATTTGTTCAAAGGGAGATGCTGGGTCTTTTGGGTATAATCCTTTTTGTGTGGAGGTGAGGAATTGAGCATATATTCTGCTAATGGGCAAGGTATTCGTTTTTATCAAAACTCTTAAGTTGTGATAAGTGTTGAGGGTAATAGCTTTATACTCTAACATGCCCATTAGCAGTTTACCTAAATATAAATAAGAGCAATAGAGATGAAACTATGATGAGAAAAAAAAAACAACTCAAGAAAGTGGACAGTGTGGTTTGCATATTGCAAAGAGATTTGTTTTTTGCATTAAATTGGTATGTGCTCAAAATTTGAAAAAGAGTTTATGAATTTTTTTTTAAGTAAATAAGAAATTCAACATTATCCTGTGGGCTAGCTCTGGTGTCTGAAGTAGACAGTATCCTGCTTTAAATGAGAATTCTGGATGTGGTCCTCTCTACATTCAGGATTTTGCCTTAATTAATTACTATTAGGCCCATCAATTAGAGCATTAAGTGTTGCAAATCTTACCCATCACTATAGAAAGAGCCAATAATAAGACGACGATGCAAAAGCACTTTATTAAAGAGCCCATCATAAGATTGCATTTTTGCCTCCATTTTTAGCTGCTTACTGGTGCTTGTTAGCTTTTTGAGCATGTCGTAGTAGATCTACAGTTAAAAAAAAAAAGAGAAAGGAGGATGAAGACTAGACAAATAAAAGAACGGTATCTATAAAAGACAGAATTCTAGAGGAAGAAAAAAAAAAGAAGAAAGACTCTTCTAAGTACTTCTTAGATTAATGGGAGATATAATGCAATTCATGGAGCGAATCCTATGTCATCGGACATGTCAACTGCTCTTTGTTTCACCGATTAAATATTTTATGATAAAAGAGTATATGATACGCATTATTCTTGAACTTGACCAGATAGTAAATATAATGTAAATTATAACCCTCGGCTTTCATCATAACTCTAGACTTTTCGGGTAGTAGTAGCAGAGACTTAAGGATAGTATCGGAGTAATCCATGTTCAAATGTTAATGGTCGCAAATTTCTAAAACGGATTATATGTTGCTCAATGAGTCCAAGTTTGGCCCATAAAAGAGCCGTCAATCTACAGAGGCATGTTAGAGTATAAAGTTATTACCCTCAACACTTATCACAGCTTTAGAGTTTTGATATATATAACGGTAGGATCTTAGGAAGTCATTCATGATATATGTTTGTACGCGCGCGCGTGTGTAAGGGCTTGTTTAGCAACTCAAAGTTAAACTGGTTAATTTAGTGAAACAAAACCAATTTAAGTCATGATTCTAGGTTGCAAAAGAAATCAGATTAGGACTTAAACTGATGTTGTTAAGCTAGGCTTTGATTTTAGTCCATCTCCCTAAAAAAGAGTTAAAGTGATTTAGACCAGACCTAATATTTTGGAAGAGTTGTCAGATTGATCCTGATATTCCGGTATTATGTTATATAAAGTTGAATTACCACACAATAATGTCTTAATCAGATTCCTCAAAAAAAATGTCTTAATCAGATAGTTATGTCAACTGCTCTTTGTTTCACCGATTAAATTTTTTATGATAAAAGAGTATATGATATGCATTATTCTTGGACTTGACAAGATAGTAAATATAATGTAAATTATAACCCTCGGCTCTCATCATAACTCTAGACTTTTTGGGTAGTAGCTGTTGGCCCTATAGTTTTGATGATGATTTGTCAAACAATTTATCGCTAATCCCTTTTCTAGTTTTTGTTGTTTTGTTTTTCTCTTTACAGGTAATTCAACACACGACAATCAAGCGTTAAAGATTCAAGTTCATGCGTGTGCATTCACCTAGGTATAAGTTTAGTTTGCCTACATATATCGTATGTTTATATGTAAGCTCAATATATGTACACTTAACACAATTTTGAAATACAGGTTTTTTGAACACTTTTCAAAAACAGGGAGTTTTCACAAACGAAAATTGATTTTCTAAAAATTCCTTTTACAAACATGTTTATTTCATCATTTAGAAACTTTCACCAAAGTTTTACTATTTTTGGAATTGATTTGATATTTTTAATGTATTTTCAAAATCAGCCCAAAAACCTGTCATATGCCATATATCAGTTTGCGGTCGACCGTCACGGTCGACCGCCAGCGGTTATTTTTGGTCGACCGTGAATCCATCAGAGACTTTTGCGGTCGACCGCCAGCCTTTATTTCCTATGCTCAGCCTTTTTGTGCTTCGCAGTCGACCGCGAGATTTCCACGGTCGACCGCCGATCTCATAATTGCTTTCCAACTGTTATTTTCTGATTTGATTTTCTAGGACTGTTTTGGTCTTTTCAAGTTTGTTTTGGCTGATATTTTGAGTGGGTATAAATACTCCATTGCTGCTCTCTTTCAAACAACTAAGTTTTGTTTTATAGTGAAGTTTTAACAAAAATCTTAAGTGTGTTTAAAAAGTTGTTTAAGCTGTTTCTGATCATCTGCTTTAAAAGAAGTCTGCTACTACAAGAAGAGGCTTTTCATTTCAACTGTGGATTCCATCCTCTTAATCCTCTACTGTTCTTCTTTTTTATTGAGAAGTTTTCTCAACTCATCTTTTCATATAGCTTATAATTTTATTTTCACATCTTAGCTATATTTATTGAGTTACATATTTTTCATTCACTGTTATCACACACACAATATTGAGCTTAATATCTTCATACTATATAGTGTGAGTTGTGGGGGTGTGATTTAGTGAGTGTGAGCTTCATTTGTGTTCTCATTTGTTGTTGAGAACAAACCATTGTATTTAATCTTCATTTGTGAGTATCACTTGTAATACACTTGTACACCGAGAGAAGTGTGAGGCGAGAGACGGGGTCGAATCCAATAGGAATGGCGTCGGTTGAGGAACCTAGGGAGAGGTTACATCCGAGCACTTGAGGAGGAGGATACGGGCTAGGTTCCTACACTTAGTGTGTGAAGTGTGATTGCATAGTATGAGAGTTTTCGGTAAGCTTGTAAACCGAGTGTGTAGAAGTTCCGGCTTTCAAACCGAATTGTGATAGTGGAGATCTCCTCGAGGTGAGGAGCGGGGACGTAGGTCGTGGTGACCGAACCTCGTAAACATATCGTTTGTTTGTGTTTTGCTTAGTGTATTTTTTATTTGTGCTTATTCATATCTTTCTTGCCCATATCTATCTTATATCATTCGTGCAAGAACAAATTAATTAATATTATTTTAATTGGCTTTTAATCAAGATTAGATTAGCATAAGACCCTAATCACCCCCCCTCTAGGATCTAATAATTGGTATCAGAGCTTGGTGCTCTTTGATTTAAGGACTAATCGCCTTGAGTTAAAGATCTAAGTTATCGTTTTTGTGCTAATCTAGTGTTGATTGCTTTTTGCTTCTTGCATATAATCATTATGGATATGTATGATGCATCTAGTCTATGTTATGCTATTAATGTTGCACCTCGTTTGGATATTTTCCCCTATGATCAATGGCGTGTTAGATTCAAATTTTTTGTTCAATCTAAACAATTCGATTTATGGGAAATTATTGAGGATGCTTATATCGCTTCAAATTTAGAAAAATCCAAATGGAGTGAAAATGATAAAAGATTGTTTAATATGAACAAGCTTTTGTTAGAATATTTGCTTAATGCTTTTCACTCTTCTTTTTCTAACAAATTTGCTAATTTTGATAGTGCTTACGCCTTATGAAAATTTATTGAAGCACAGGAAGGGAACTTGGAGGCTATCCAACAAGAAAATCTCGATTTGAGTTCTAAAGAAGCCTCATCTCCATAAACAATACCACTAGGTGATAACTCTAGTGAGGTATGCGATAACGATGATATTATTACTTTTGATGAACTTGCTCTTGAGTTTGAAAAGTTACACAATTGCTATATTGATGTAAAGAGTAAGTATGTTAATATGAAATCCACTCATGAAACACTAGCTACTAAGTTTAACTTCATTGCAAATGAAAATGTAATTCTTAAAGAATGCAATGAAAATTTGAAAATTGAAAATGCTAGTTTGCTTCATGAAAAACGTGATGCCATGTTAGAAGTAGATAAGTTGAAATCTATGATAAAAAA